GGGGGCGGGCTGGGGGCTGAGTGTCTGTGGGGGAAGGCAGAGCCAGGCGATGCAGTACTGCAGGCTAAACTGCTCAAGTCTTCTACAGCAGTGCTGCTCAGTGCGGAGGAGGCAGGGCCAGAAGAATGACAAATGATGCAGAGATGGGAGGTGGGGGCTCCAATAATTTTCCACTTGTTCTCATTACAACTACATCACTGGTATCACAGACTGAGGGTTAGGAGAGCTGGTGGGATTTCAAATAAACTTATCCAAACTTAATGTAAATTAAACTCTGTAAAAAATGAAGCCAACTCTCTACACAGACATCATTCTTATTTTGCTACTGCCAGCAACATTTCAGTGCCAGCTTGTACAGTAACAGGTTAAGGCTGAAAAACAGCTTGTACTTTATCAGTCACTTATTCTTGACTCTTCTTAAGGACTAGGTTCAGTTAAGATGGAAGAGGTAGAATGTAGCTTGGACATCAAGAGATTACAACAAAAATTATTCTGTTCAAGGCAACTGCTGGATCTGGATAATTCTGATAAATATATAACCACATATTCTAATCTCCTTTGACATCTTTTCAAATTTTGAAACTTAACTATCAGGCCAAATCTACAGTCTCAACATATGGACATTTATCTCAGGAACGGGAGTGTCCAGTTAATTTTAGGTTTCTCTGGAGATAAAGGCAATGGATGTTGAGAATAACTTAATGAACCACCTTGAAAGAACCTCTGCTTTGTGGAGCACCTGGGCTGTTTTCTATTAACTCTTGCTCTCCCAGACTTGGGGGTTGGGGGGACTCCCAGGTACCTTTGCTTTCTGAGAAAGCAGCTCTTCTGGCCCTTGGCATTTATCCTCTGTCATGCATGATTCTAACCATTCTGTTATCTGCAACAGTGATAAACAGAGGAGTCAGAAAGACTATTAGCCATCTGCTTTTCTTCCTGACACACTCAAATAGTTAACCTCTTGGCTTACTCAGATAAGAAGTAGTTTGGTGTGATACTTAAGCACTCAAAGGAAAATACTGGAATAGGTCTGGAAAATTACCTTCAATCGTGAAGATATTCACAGAATCATAGAATTTTAGCACAGGAACAAATCTTAAAGATCACCTAGTCCCACTTTCTCATTTTACAAATGAGAAAACTGAGGTTTAGTGAATTAAAGTAAAATTGTCAAGGTTACAAAGTACTCAATTTGAGTGCTGGGACTCAGACCCTGGGTTCTTGACTCCCATGACACTATGCCATTCTACCTCAGAAAAGTTTCATGTAAAAACTAAGCATGACATTGCTCTTAAGAAAATAATTCTTTCATACCAATTCTTACCATACTCTGGTAAACAGGGACTCCTGATTCAGTTTTCTTCCTACACATTAGTTCTTCTTCTACATGTTAGATATCCATAAATTTATATCCATAAATTTACCTAAGGCAATCTGCCTACTTAATGACGAGACTGCTAATTAATTTCAACAGGAAGCCAGGGTGTTTGGAGGGTGTTCAGTGAGTTCCTGTTGAGTTTCAGCGCTGTGTTAGACTTTGTAACGACTACAATCTCAAACAAACCATTTCTAGTGGTTGCTGTTTTGAAAATTTGTGATGAGCTACACTGAGCTACACTAGCAAACCAATAGTTTCTTTCTTTCTTCCCCCACCCCCCTTATAACTAACAGAAACCAGGTAGACTGGTTCTATACATACAGTGTGTATAGGAAGAATGCCTATACATTTCCTTTTATCTCCTTTACTTACGTGAGTTCTACCAAAAAGGAGAGCAAAATGGGTAAGAGAATGGCCTCTGAAACCAGACTGCTTAGGCTTAAATTTCAGTTTCACGATTTACTGGCTATGAGGCCTGGGAGTCTTGCTTAACCTCTCTGAGCCTCAGATCACTTATCTGTGAAATGAAGACGACAGGACCAGCCTCACTGAGTTAATAAGAGGATTGAATGAATTAAAATTTATTAAACTATTAGTCAGTACTTGGCATTAGGGACCAGATGAGTATTTTAAAAATAAACAAGATCCTGGTGGTGATCAGTAAGCTGTGCCTTGTCTGGGATGAAAGAAGCATGGATATATATCAGATCTTAGCATCTTCTCACAAGGAAGCAGGAGAAACTCTTCAAGGACACAACTATGTCCAAGCCTATGCACTGCAATGCTGACATCAATGGCAATGAAATAAAGGCCACAAACAGACTGTGGCTGGCATGTAACAAGGAGACATGGGCACAGGCTGAGTAAAGCTGACAGTGATGGATACAAATGGCTCTTATAGGCAATTGCTGTAGTCATTCTCCAAAGTACACAGTGGCCACACACCAAGTAGGGAAGAGTCAAATTTTTTTCTGAAAGTATTTTTATTTTTCAGTCTCTCTGAGGTGCTTGTTGGATATGTGGGGGTGAATGTAAACAGAGTATCATATCTTTCCCTCAACTCTGAGTTAGTGGTCCTCATGTGCAAGTCAGGTTTTACGGATCAAAAAATAAAAGGATACGAGACAATATAAATATGTCAGGAAAAAAATCTCAGAGCAACAAAGCAGGGAGTTCTTTAAAAAGGAATACGTACGTTTGGGGGAGGCATGTGGGCTGTCTGAGGCGATCTGTCTCATCCGTGTTCCATGGCAGCTGAGGGCCACAAGTCTGGAGATGATGGCGGTTTTGCCAAACCCAATGTTTCCCACAATCACTACTCCTTGGTTCACGCTGGCATTTGAACTTTGAAGTTGAGCATCTATTTCATGGAAAACCCAGTCCCGGCCAACAAACACTGACTCTGTAGTGATGCTGGGCACTTCAAAGAGCAGAGGCTTCAAGGAAATATCTGGAGGTCTATAAGGTGCAAAGCGAACTAGAAGGAATAAGAAAACACAGAACTTAGGCAAAACCATCAACATTCAGAAAAATAAAGACAAAAAGCACTAACTTAAAAGTTACTGTATAGCATTCTGGCTTATTCAGAAAATAATAAAACACTGATTTTGGTTCTATGCAGATAAGCAATGGCAAGTGAGCTAGAGCCATTTGATATGCGTGTTGGCAGACACAAACGCTGTTGAAACAATAATAATTTATGGAATAGTCGGAAAGTCAGGGTAATATTCAAAACTATTAAACAATGGGGATGGCCTGGGCACCAGCAATCAGGATAGATGCGCAAGTAGTAAAGAAGTAGGGTCCTTAAGGCCTCCTTCTATGCTGGGGGATAACCTAATTGTTGGGCTCTGGGGAGATGCATAGTTAGCATTCCTGGGGGAGAGAACAGACTATGGTGGGGCATCCAGATGGCTGACAGCATCAGCTCTTTACCAACCAGTAAGGGCTATTTCAATATTTAACAATCAATATGGCCATATTAGTCATATAGAAAGCAAGGTAAAGTTTCTTTAAAAATACTAATGAAAACAGTGATTCCTTTAAGTTCATAATGATTATATATATATATATACACACACACACACACAGATTATATATATATAATCTAGTAGGTATATTAAGGGAAGCAAAGCCTCTAAAAACTCTGATTAAAAGGTCTTCAACATGTTAAGCAGTCAAGGGAGTAGAAGCCAAACTTTCACCCAATGTCTTTGCACGTGTACTGATTGTATTCATGCCAATTTAAGAAAAGGTTTTTGGCTTATATACAACCTATCTTGGGGATGAATCTCTATTGCTTTTCTCAATATTTTTTTTTCTGTGCTTATATAGTTGTGGGATGTGCTAAGGGCCAAGCATGAGTTCTTTCAATAGTTCTCCAAAAATGTATAATAGATGTGATTTGTTTTCAGAGATCACCCTTCTAATTATATTGATGGTAAAAAGAAATTCTGCCTGACCTCTCTTATCTGGGTTAAATGCCCCCCTAACTATTCTGAGAATAGCTCTAAGATGTATCATTTTATCTGTCTGGAACCAGGTATTTTATTTCTGTATCTTTAACTTAGCACAGTGCTTTAACACATAGTAGGGTGCTCAATAAATGTATACTGAAGGAACCAATTAAAAATAAGGTATTAATACTTTCAACAATAAAGATAAATTAAAAAGAAAAAAGGTATGATGCTCTAAACCCTTCTTATATTTTGGAGAATAAAGGCCAGGGGTGGGAAGGGGGTGAGAACAGGAGAAAAGGAAATCATAAAGTGGGGAATGAGATCTACTGCTTTTATTATTCTAGAACATACTTAACCCACTTATACATCATAAAATGAGATCTAGAGATGGCAGCTTACTTGAGAAAATACATAAGCATGCATATATATACACTCTCATTTAAAAATGTCTGAAATCTGATGGAATAACTAAGCATTTAAAAAAGGGTAACAATTCCAAAAATAGTGCAAATAATTAAATACATAGAGCCAAACTCTAATAATGGAAGCAAACAGTTTTCTATATGAGTTTAAAATGTCCCAAATTTTCACTTTTTAAAAAAGGGCTGTGGAGATACAGCTACATGGTCACTTATAATTTCCTAATTCACATCTCTCTGCCAAAACTTATCCTTTTAAAATCCATAACTAACTATAATTACAGAGTTCAATGAAAAATCAGACTTTAACTTCCTAAAAATATTCTTTTAAATTCTAATGTCCTGTTGTTAATAGAGTCTATTTTACTTTTCTTAAGCATTATTTTATGAGCTATAATTCACATACCATAAAATGCACCCTTTTCAAGTATGCAATTTAGAGGTTTTAGTATATTCTAGTCCTTGGCATCCAGAGATTTTTCTCTCTTTACATATTTGCCTATTCTGGACATTACACATAAAAGTTATCATATAATATGTGGCTTTTTGTGTCTGACTTCTTTCACCTAGCATGACGTTTTTGAGTTCATTCATGTTGTAGCATGTATTAGTACTTCATTCATTTTTATTGCCAAATAATATTCTATTATATAGCTATATCACATTTTATTTCTCCATTTATCAGCTGAAGAACATGTGGGTTGTTTCTACTTTTTGATGATTATGAATCATGCTACTATGAACATTCATGTACAAGTTTTTGTGTACATATGTTTTTAATTCTCTCGGGTATATGTCTAGGAGTGGTATTGCTGGGTCATATGGAAATTCTATATTTAACTTTTTGAGAAACTGCCAAACTGTTCTCTTTTACTTTTGCTATATTTTACAGAATACATATTCACTATAGAAAATTTAGGAATAGTAAACAAAATAATAATTGTATTCCCACTAGCCAGAGAGAAACACTATTCATATATATTCTGAGTTTTGTCTATACCACATATACTTATTTTAAAAACAAAATGGGATCATATGATAGATACTGTTTCATAATTTGCTTCTATCAATTAGTAATTCCAGAGTTCTGAAAAAGCTGATTCTGTCAGACTTGCCAGCTTCACGGTTGCTTCAGTGGAGGGACTGATTCTTGCAGTACCTTACTCCCCCCATTTTCCATGATGTCACTTGATAGAAGGGACTGCTAACCACTCATGGGGTTTCCTGGGTACCTGAGTGCCCTTGCTGGGCAGACACTCAGACAAACATGCTGAGCTCTGGCTGAACAGTCATAGGACTACTTGGGAGAAAGGAGAAAACAGAACATCACTTGGCTTGAGATGAGTCTAATTAGGCCTAGAGAGACCTAAGGTCACACAGAACTTAGGGAACACAGAACTGGTTTCAGAACTAGAATTAAAACCTAATTCTGATTCCAAAAGCCAGGTTTTTCCCTCTCATATTATGTTGCAACTGCTCTACAGGATGTCACTATTGTATCTTAAAGTGACGAGTTGTCCCACTGATGACCAGAATGGATAGACTTAGCCGACATTTTAGACTATCTTCTTTCTCCTTCATGTCTCCTGTGCTTCCCTTTAGGAACTGCATGCATCACCAGAGATGACCTTTCCAGAGAGAGAAGAGCTACTCAGAGACACTCAGTTGCTTTCTAAACTAACTTATCTCTTCAGGTCCAAGATTACTTTATACCGTGAATCAAAAGGGACTTTCATGAACATGACCTATGCCAACTTATAATATGTAATAAGTATAGTCAATTTAAATGCTTAAGTTTTGGGGGAAAATTCTATTAACTTGTTCTCACGTTGACGTAATCTCTCATCATATTTTATTCTGAGAAAGCTTTGACATTTAAAAGTCATTTTTAAAATTTTCTAAAAATGCAACCAATTCACAAAAACCTCAAGGGAAGAACAGACAAAATTAGCTCAGTACCATATGGTAAAACAACTGTAGGTACCAACAGCCTAGAAACGATTTCTGAACCTCCGAAACTGAGGCTTTCGTCAGATCAGTATGATAACAGAAAGTCATACTTATGTACCAAGAGTAAATTTGGGGCATATGAATAAGAAAGCACTTTGGCCTGTATTGTAGGACATGTAAGTAATGAATATGCCTGTGGAGTTCATATTCCTAAATAAATGTTTCTTTGTTTGGGATATCAGCTGGCTTCCAAGAGATTTTCTAAGGCAGAAACCACTGAAATAATCCAATGAGAAATTATCACTGCAACTACAGCTGAGCTATGAGAAAAAGATGAGCTGACCCATACCATTTAGTAATACATGTGGCTTTCTTACCCCTGTAATTCAAGAAGTGGTAGTCACAGGGTAGTGACAGAGCAGGAAAACCATCATCCTTCTCAAAACATGCCAATAGGTATACTGTAATTTATTTCAAAATTTGTAAAAAATAATGGAGTGGGTAAAGAGATGGGTAGATGGATAGATATGTGACAAAATAATATAGTAAAATGTTAATCATCTGATCAAGATAGTGGGTATATGAGTGTTTATTGTAGAATTCTTTCATTATTTTGTATATCCAAAAAATTTCCTAATAAAATGTTGAAGGAAAAACCATGAAAAGGAAAAACATTGCAACGGAGCAAACAAATAAGACAAGGTTTGGATAGCAGTTTTTAAAGGGGATTTAGTTACTCTAGACTCAGACCAGTGTGTGCATCTTGTCAATGCAAATTAGGCTCACAGCAGACAAATGAATTCTCTCTAGGAAACAGTCTCTGTGAGACTTCAATAATTATAATTACATATCTAGGCTCATAGAGAAAACTGACCTTTATTTAACTAAGGCAAAGAGTAAACATTTAAAAAACAAACAAAAATGCATTAAGGCTAACAGATCCACTCGCCCAAATGCAAATATAAACAGCTGCAGCAAGGGGAAAAAGGGAAGGGAAGTGGGGGCAAAGGAACTCTAACAGAATTTAGACTACAGCATATTTACTCATGGAAAACAACCATGAATCATCTTAAAAGAAGTCAGTCATAGGACTGGCAGGAGAAAGGGTTGTGTGTGACACAGCCAAGGTCTGGCGCAAACAGAGGCAAAGCTGTATCTCCTCCCATTCTTCCATAATGACTCTAAGTCTAGCCTGGAAGCACCTCTGTCCCTCAGAACAAAAGATAACTTCTTAGGGCCTGTGCCACGCATGCTCTTCTCTACACAGAGTAGAGGATAACACGTGTGCGTCAGACAAAGCCTGGTATCACGTTAGCACCAAACATAAGTTCAAAAAGAACACTTTTTTCCCTTAAGAAATACTTAAACCAAGTAATGAGCTCATTTATCCACTGACTTTCCAAAAGGCTCACTGTCCCATTACAAGAGTCAAATCTCTTCAGGGTCTGCTGTTTATTCTTGGTGGTCTGGAGGCAGCTCCTCCTACCTCCAGAATGAGTTTTTGAAGAATGTAAGGCAATTTGAAGTAGGGCCTAAAGGACAACCTAAGGACAACAGTCTGTGATGTGTTCATTCCAGGTAACTTCTGTTAAAAAAAAGATTAAAGCAGCATCACTGTTGGGTGAGCAGGGGAAGATAATCGTAAAGTG